GTAACATTGGTTTTGCTTTGTTTCACAGAACTAATCGTTGCCTGGGTTGCGTACGTATGTGTGGGGCGGAGCTATCAAAATAGGGGCGAGACCCTTTTGGGGTAGGGGCATGTTTATTTTGGTGATTGTTAGCTTGGCATTGAAAATGGTCAACATGTGACCAAAACGTTTGCCTTGTTTTTACTCAGTAAATTGCTCATATTGCTTTCATCTCTCTTGTGACTCTTTGATGTTTGAGTATGCCGACTTTTTTCTAGCTCTTCACCTGTGTTTTGGTGATTTGAAATATCAACATTGGCTACCAGAAATCACTTACCCCACCTTTAAGAGTTACTGTCTTCCGCCATTTTAGAGAGTATCACAACTCATATGCACGATTTCCCCTAAGCGTAAACAATGCTGATTACGCAGATTACGTTCATGCGCGCACTTTCCCCCCGAACGTAAACACCACTGATTACGTTCTTAGGGAACTCTCCAAAATGGCGGAAGACGTAACTCGGGGGAGAAGAATTGTTGAATAAATTATGTTGTTTCCGCACAAAAAGTATTCTCGTAGCTTCGTAAAATTGAAGTTGCACCACTGATGTCACATGGACTGTTTTATAGGGCTGTGCAATTAATCGCATGCGATTGTCATGCACATCTTGTCAGTAAAGCCGGTTCCGTGATTAGTAGTAAATCGCCATCACCTGCTTTCAGATGGAGTGGCATTTAATACACAGAGCCGTAGTTCACTGACAAGCTAGGCAATATTGCGTTCATAATCGAATGCAATTCATCTGCGATTATGAACTATGAATTATTGCCTAATTGTCAGTGAACTACGGCTCTGTGTAGTAAATGCCACTCCATCTGAAAGCAGGTGATGGCAATTTACTACTAATCACGGAACCGGCTTTACTGACGAGATGCGCATGACAATCGCATGCGATTAATTGCACAGCCCTACTGTTTTACCGATGTCCTTACTACGTTTCTGGACCTGGGAACATTACAGTTGTGTTGCTGTCTATGGAGGGTCAGAGAGCTCTCCGATTTCATCAAAAATATCTTAATTTGTGTTCCGAAGATGAACGATGGTCTTATGAGTTATGAACTACAAGAGGGTGAGTAATTAATGACATTTTTGGGTGAACTATCCCTTTAAGGCATCAAAGAAGCGTTCTGTATGAAAGTCATACTGAACACAGTTTGTCCCGTATTCGCAGGCATATTAAGTATGACCACCTACTAGACCATACGAATAACAAACTCTTAACTGAGAATAATCATTCTTTTTGGACAAATCATTTGATTTGCGAACATATCTGTTCGGGGAAGGCTTTAAGACCAAGCAGAATCTTCTGCCGGCTTATGCGCGGCCCGCGGGACTCGCACTAACGGTAGGCTCATTTTTGGCAAATCAGTTTTGGTGAATGCAAACTAAATATTGTTCATGAGTTCAACATCTAGCCACACAAGAAAACATGAGGGAAGATTCATATGATCAAAAAGTCAAGTTGTCTTTAGTAGACTTGTGCCGGTATTCGGTAATGCGATATATCACGGTAATGAATATGCACGATATTGTTATCGTGAGCACTTCTAAATACCGTGAATAATTATATATAACAAATTATTCAGAATTTTGAATGCATTTTAAGAATACTTTTCCCATAAACTCACTGCCTCTCATAGGTCCCTGGATCCTGCTCAGCATTAGTCTGGCTTGATACAAACACTGAACACTGGCTTCTTGCAGTGCTCTCCACAACTCATTTATCTGTCCATTGAAATGATAGTTCCTCATTAGGTAAAGCAGCCATTAATATTCTAACATTTTACAGCTCTTTTATGAGTACTTTAATGATGTCGTAGTTGGTAAACTTCAGAGCCAAATCCAAATAATGTTTTGGAGAGATGGGAATTATTTAAAATAAGATTATTAAGTGATGTACAATTAAGATGTCAGATATAATTTAAGAGGTCTTTTATCCATGTTAGATGAGCAAGTTATCAATTACTGCTTATTTATATATGCCCCCAATTCCCCTTTTGCCTGTTAAACCTCTTTGAACATTTTCTTTTGATGGAATCTAAAGTTCCCTTACCAAAAAGTAGTATATTTCAAGTTTATTTTAGTAAGTATACTTAAGTAAAGTTCAAGTATATTTTTAAGTATACTTAATGTAGTAAGTATACAGATATCATTGTACTAGTAGTATACTTGTAAGTGTACTATTTCAATACTCATTGGGACTAAATTGGCCCACTTTCTAGTATATAAAAGTATACTTTTAAGTATACTTTAAGTATAACTGTAGTAAACTTTAAGTACACAACTAGTTTACAACATTTTTAGCTTGTACTGCAACTATACTAAAAGTGAATGTATATGAATACTGATAGTTTTCTAATTAAATACTTGTAGTAGCATTTTTAGTACACTTTGAAGTATAGTCTTAGTAAACTACTAGTTTAGTAGTTTTATACTGCAAGTATACTCGTAAGTTTTCTTTAAGTGAACTTTACATCATACTTTAAGTATACTA